ATATCACCCCAAAACCCCAAAACCCCAAAACCCCAAAACCCCATATACATATATTGAGCATGAGAGTGTTTAAAACAAATCATAATTATAAAGTTATATTTCTATCTAAGGCTTATCAATTGGTAGTGCTTTGAGAATTGGAGTACCCATCAAAACTTGGGGTGATATAATTTTACCGAGGCAGATCCCTGCATCATATCCTTGAAGGTGCCTACTTTACTCATGTTTTCTCTGCCGCTGGAGCCAAAGTGGGCAACTGCGGAAGATCTATTCTTAGAGTGAGGTTGCTTGCCAATTGAAGATCTAGTATCATATGTTTAATTCTTGTCAACTTTCTTGGACTCTGTACTTGGTCTTCCTGCTTTAGGTAATGTCCAACGCGGGAAGTTCTGTTTTGTTGAGGGATTCGCTGAAGCCTCTGGAACATACCTACCTGGACCTACTGAACCTGGAGTAGATGTTTGATTCTTCAATGCACCTGTACCCCCTCGCCTGAAACCAAAAGTATATTGAGGTTGTTTAATAAATTCAGGCCTATCCTTCGGTAAGTATTGGGGACCAGGAGTTGATTCAAGAGTATTTAATTGCATCTAAAATAATAAAAAAGCAATCAAGTTATACCCTTGGTTCAGTTCCAATCTTGGGTGCATTGCATCTAGGCTTTCTTGAGGCATCAGCTGTGAGAGGATCATCGAGGAATGCTGCATTCTCATAGAAATCATATCTAGGTTTGTCTACGCCTATTCTCTCAGCAGTTCCGAATTGCCATCCAGGTGGCTGTATTTATTTACACAATTTATTTTATTACTTTTTCGTATTTTATTTGATCAGTGTAATTATAGATAGGTCCTGGTGACATTTTACCTGCATTACTCGTCTTAGTGAGTTCATCCATGAAAATCTTCTCTTGATCATCTCTCTTTGCTTATGGAAATCCGAAAACAGGCTGAGATTTCTCAACTGACAATGGCAATTTTCCAAAAGATGTTCTTGCCTGCTTTGAATCCAGTGCTTGCGCCAGAGCTGTTAGACCTATTACAGTAAAGGTTAATAGCTGCTCATTGGAAATAGTAAGATTATTACCAGCGAAAGTCAAGGGTTTAGTTTTTTTTTCTTGTTGTTGCTCCTCTGCCATTCTTTTTGAATATTTTGATTATTTTATAAAACTTTATTTCTTAACTATATTAATTCAAAGTTTAAGAAATTAAAATAAATATTAACTTAATTAAAGCAAGTTTGCATAATTAACCTACCTTACTCACTAAATTCATATAATATTTAATGAATGAGAAAAGATCAATCATGTAATCAGGGTCATTTATGTTAACTTGTTATCCTATATCGACTACATTCATTTTTTCTGCTTTTTCTCCTAAGGCTATGTCACATTATCGTCTGGCTTTGCCCATTCTATGATTATTTTTCTGCCGTATAAATGCGTGTGCTAGAGATTTTTGAATGCATTCTTGGCTTCTTCGCTGCTCACAAATTCTACGAATCCAAATCCTCTGTGACTCTTGGAGTTAACTTTCTTTGGTAATCTAACTTTCCTCAAAGCACCATAAGTCTTGAACAGTTCTCTAATGTCATTATCAGTTGCCTCAAATGCCAAATTCTTCACTGTCAGTTTGTTTGAAGTCAATTCCTCCTGAGCATCAACTGCTGCTAATTCTGTCTTCTCCTTTCTCTTAGTAAGCAACTATTAATCCTTGAGTCTTTTATCTGATTTGGCAATATCCTTTTTGGAAATACTGAGCTTTAAAGCATGCTCATCTAAGATAAAGTTCTGTAATTTCTTCATTGCTTTCTCTGCTTTATCCTTATTCTCTAGCTCTACGAAACCATAACCCCTGGATAACTGATTTTCGTTGTTTTTGACTATTTTACAAGAGAGTATTTTGCCTACTTTAGCTTCCTTAAATACCTATTCTAGCTACTCTTCTACAGTTGCAAAGCTTAAATTCTTGACAAAGATAGTTCTTTCACCTTTCTTATCATTCTCATCCTCTTGAATTTCAAGTTCTACTTCCTTTTCTTGCTTCTTTTTATCTTCCTTAGTTAACGCTGCACTCTTAGAAATGATAACAGGAGCATATTCGAGATAAATTGGCATGATGTAGTTAATTTTATAGTAAGCGAGGTTCTTCATTGCAGCCTTGGCTTGTTTCTCATTATCATATTCAACAATACCTAGAGTGTTAAATGGAGAGAGCAATACTCTCTTGAGTACTCCATATCTCTCAAAGATTTCTTTGAGTTCTTCCTCCTTTGTTGAGTAAGGAATATTCTTCACAATTATGACTGTAAATGAACGCTTGCACTTTGATCTGTCTGTTCTCTCGAGCTTATCCAGGTCTATGCCATTTTCTTTCATCCATTCCTTAGTCTGATTTATGACTATAGTTTCAGCCTGAGCTAATCTAACTGCTAAATTATTTTGATTTCTGTCTAAGAGACTGCCCTTGCTTATATTTAATCTGCTAGCCATCGAGGTTGCTACTGAGTCTTGATTCATAAAGAGGTAGTTCCAGTTGGTCTCATCATCAAAGTTAGATTTCACTTCCTTTTCCTTTTCCTCCTTGAAAGTTGATTTCTTCTCCTTTACTTTCTCTTGCCTCTTTTCTTTTTTCTCCTCCTTCATTTCTTCATCTTATTTCTCATCTTTTTACACTTCATTTTCTGCCAAATTTTCATTCTCTTGATTCTCATTCTCGTTTTCATTATTCAATGGCTGGATTAGTTCTTTTGGCTCTTGAGGTGGTTTCTTCTAAGCAGGTAAAATATGAAGTTTCCTACCTTAATAGAATGTTTTATCAAGATCAGCATATGCACTCACAGTAGCTTCAACAGTCGCAAATTTGATAAAGGCGAAACCGAATCCTTATCCACCTTTTCTGAGAGGTATCTCTAAATCTGAAATCTCTCCAAACTTCTCGAATTGCGTTCTCAGCTCTTCGTGAGTAATAGTAAATGGTAGATTCATTACATAAAGCCTTTACTCATCGATATTACTATCAACTTCATTTACCTTGGCTTCATCACCTTCTTCTTTATTTTCTTCCTCTGCATCCTCCTCATCTTTCTTCTTAGATTTTTCACTCTTCTTTGCTTCCTTTTCCTCCAACTTCTTTTTCTTGGCTTCTTCTTTGCTAAGTCTCTTCTTTTTATCATCATCTTTGGCAGTATACTGCAGACCTGAACCGTCATCAGCCATGAATGCAGTGAAGCTATCATTCCAGGACTACTTGTTATCCTTGGACATTCCCATTACCTTCAAGAATGACCTGAACTTTTCCTTCTTCTTTTCCTTCTCTATCTCGATTTACTGTCTTTCTTCTTCAGTAAGCTTAGCTTTCTCCTCTTTAGATGGCTGATTTCTGAGATTATAAGCGCTGCTTCCTTTGCTATACTTAGACCAAGGTCTGGTCAATTTAGGATCATTCTGAGCATAAGCATACTCTACCTAAATTCTGCTGGTATCCACAAAAGTGTTATTGAAGTATTTCTTGGCTTGAGCCGCTTCATCTTCTGTCTTAAAACCTATGAACCCAAACAATCTTGACTTGTTTCCTTTTCTCATGATTTTGGCATCAGTGACTGTGCCTGCCTTAGTGAAATGCAGCTTCAATCTCTGTTCATCCAAATGCTTAGGGATATTTTTAACAATCAATCTACTAGTTGGGGCATCTGAGATAGAATTCTGAATCTCCTGCTAGGTTTCATGATCTTAATCACCTCCCTCTTGTTATTTAGTATTAGACTTTGTTTTTGACATTTAATAATGAGTTTAATTTGTGTTTTATCAGTATTTATTTAATAATTCATTCAAAACATGGAAATGTATTACAATTGGGGTTTTGGGGTTTTGGGGTTTTGGGG